GAGGTTTAACAAAAGCTCAGTTAGACCTGAGCTCTAGAGGGACCACCACCACTCCATAAATCATCTGTTCTCCCACTAAATACATGTTTGGATTATTAAAATGTTGGGAATCATTTATAACGACACCCCAGTGAGTTTGTCAGCAGCATCTTGTGTGAAGTTTGGCTTCCGGCCAGGAGGGCAACACAACTTCGTGTGATCCTGAGAATGTTCAGGACTGACCCCACGAACGGGCTCAAATATTTGGAACACTGAGAGCTGAGAGCCCAGAGTCATTCTGACCCAGGCAGGACTGACCCAGGTGAGCTCTGGGACCCCAGGAAAACATTAAAAACTCAGTAAAGCTGCACCCCAGCTCCACACACACAGAGGACCAGGTTTCTACACTCTGCTCCAAGTGTTTGCTTCCAGCAACTCCCAAATTACACACGGATTTTAATGGAGTATTAATGCTCATCTCGCAGGGAACTGAGTCCTAAAACTCTCCCTGGAGGAGGAGTAAGATTGGGATGGAAACCCTCATATCAGACACCAAAACCCCTGAAGCCACCAAGAAACAGCAGATAAAGCCCACGGAGACACGTGGGAGCTCTGACCTCAGGGACAGGATCCCCTTCCATCCTCCTTATCCACCTGGATCAGGTTCCTGCTGTGACCGTGCCAGGAAAGCAATAAAACAATTGCTCCTCTCCACCCTCACTCACAAACTCCCCAAGAACCACCCACTGCACTCCAGGATTGTTTTCCAGCCTCCAAGTCCATCCCTGAGGATTCCAGGGGACACAGAGGCCAATGACCGGTCGGGGGAGGTCACAGCCCACCCTCCAGAGTCACGGACTTTTCCAGGGACTGCACAACTTTCTGCTGTTCTTCCCAAGAGAAACTGCCCTGGAAAGAGCTGTGAGCTGGGAATAAAGAACCTGTCACTGCCAGAGCACATCAGATTTGATTTGAGCTCTTATTTAACAATATGCTCACGTGAGGGCCACGTCTGTCCTCGGAATTATTCTTTTATGAGGCCTGCAAAGTTTGCAGTAACAGTTTCTATAATGCAAACATGACATAACTTTTGGATAAATATTTTCCTTCATTGCTTTAGTTATAATTTTATGCCTTTTCTCTCATTGCCAGAAAAGCAGAATCGAATCCTAAGCACTTGTGTGCTGCTTCCTAATTGACCAGTCCCATAAACCCAAACCCAGGAGTTCCTGAAACATCCTAATCCTGCTTCTAGAAGAGAACTGAGCACCTCAAAGAACTGAGCCCTTGAAGTGTTTCATTCTTATTTCAACTTAAAAAAATAATGGGACTAAGGTATTTTCCCGCTGTATCAATGCTGTTAAAAAAAATAAAATAAATGTAAAACTGCTTCTTTCCACCTGTTAGGAAAATTACACGTTCTGGCATCAGCTGAGTTGCTCATTTTAAAGCAAGAATTTTTCAAGCTGATATGAAAAAGCTTTAAATAAATACAACATAACAATGTATTGAAGTCCAAGTGTGAAACTGAATTTTAACTGAATTTAAACTGGTTTTTTAGGCCTTGAAGGAAACCAGTTTACTTAGACACTGACAACATACTATGGAAATTCTATATTCCAGTGGTTATCTAAATCACTTTGAAACTATGGGAATAAGATACACTGTGTGCCACTGAAAAGTAATCCAAAAAAACTTCTGACCAAAGTCAGACAACCCCAAACTCCAAAGAGCAAAAAGGCAGCTGGATTTTACACCTCAAAGTAACACAGCTGAGCAGGTGAAGCAAAGTGGTTCAAAGCATGCCAAGGTTTTACCAGCTGGGAACTGCAAGTTCCTACAGGGACCTGCCCGTGCTCCGAGGCTCTGAAATCCAGGTTAAGGATCTGGATAACTGAGTACAACCCCTCCCAGTGGGAAAAATTTGAAGTGGATTGTAAAATTCAACCTGTTTTATGATCATTTTTTCCCCCAGAAAATAAAAAATTTCTGCTCGTTTCCCAACCTTTTTGAAGTCCAAGGGAAAAAGTTCTGTTTCCAAGACTGGCAAGAACCCAAAGGAATGGTTTGTTGTGTGTGCAGACACATCCATTCCCACAGGAACACATCATTCCATGGCACCTTGCTCATCCCAGTCCCCTCCCTGCAGCGAGGAACACCCAGGAATAAAGGTTCAGGATTTGGAAAAGCTTTTTTTAGAATCTTCACGTGAGGAGCAGGTGGGAAATGGCAAATTTCAGTGCCCCCTGAGCTTGGCTGCTCTGTGTCTCCAGACCTGGGAGAAACCTCCTGGGATTGCACCAAGAAAGCCCCAAAACTCTGCCCTTTTTAGTGCCAGAGCTGGGTAATCTCTATAAATGAAGCTCGAGAGCAATTATGGGATGGCAGACACACACACAGCTGGTGTGGCACAACCCCAAGGTGATCCAAGAGCTCTTTTCCAAACGCCTGCATTCTGTATTCCAACAATTTATTTACTTTAGGCCTGACTCAGGGAGCCCAATCATGCAGATTATTAAAACCAACACAACAAGGCCACTTCCAGGAAAGGCTCCTACCACGGGACTGCTCAGAGCACACAGCTGGTGCCTCATCCAACAAAACAGGAGGGAAATCAGCACTTCCCAGGATGGACACAAGCAGGAGTTTGCTTCCAGGTTGCTGCAAAGGCTGATTTTCCAGCACTTTCTTCCAGCAAGTGCCTGATGCAGCCTGTCAGCACAGCAACACAAACAAGCCTTTTCCATTTAAGAACCCTCCTACAAACCATGACTTCAAAAACAACCATAAAAACCCAGTGAAAGCAAAGGATTCCTTCAGACTGGAAGAGATTATGCAAACTCCAAGCAAGGAAGAATTATTTTGATACACCAACTGAAGACTGTTTTCCTTGTGCAAAATGAGCAGAGGCTCAGGCTGTAACACTTTAGCTGAGCAGTGAAATTAGTCTGGTTAAAACAGGTTATACTTAAACCAAGGGCTAAAACACACCAATAAATTACTTTAATTACCACAGCTGAGCAGTCCCGTGGCAACAGACCATGTGCATTTTTGTAGTTCACGGAAAATGCAAGGGAAAATGCAAGGATGAGGTCACCCACATGAGGTTTGAGCAGGAGCACTTCCCTCAGAGGGTGACAGGCCAGGTCTGGGCACAGAACCACTGACACAGCTCAGCTGATGGATGGCAACACACTGAAATCACTTCCTTCTGCATCAGCTTTAAATATGTATTAGTAAATCAGTTAATCTGCTGCAAATTTAGAAATATAATCATATTTTACATAAGAGCCTAAGTGGAAATTATCAATTTTGAAGAACATAAGGATGACAGTTTACATGTAAGTTTTTATAAAGTTTATGCTTTAAGAATTCTAGGTATTGAAAAGCAAAATGACAGTTTACAATACAAACTGTTGTGTACATAACACCTTCCAAACCTGAATAATTCTAACTAATTCTCACCCCTGACATGGCAATGGACAAAAATACACACATGGGTGAGCAGATTAAAGGTTCTGCTGGGAACAGCCAATCTGCTCAAAACCAACTGCACCATCCTGCAAGTCCTTCAGGAGACTAAAACCCCTCACACACAAACATCAAACTTTGCCTTTATCCCTCCAAGTACCTGTTGGAGGGGAAACCCAAGTGACACATGAGTGGCACTGCTCACTCCACTGCCCTGGGACACTTTAATACCTCACTCAGCAAACTGAAAGCAACTCAGCCCCGTTAAAGGGACACTAATGCTGAAGGTATTTGATAAAGGGCATTAAACAGCAGATAAAACAACTCCATCTGAATTTATAAACCTGTATTTAACCTGATTAAATGGTTTTCCTCCCAAATATCTATTCAGCTGCAGAGAATACAGCATGACAACCACGTTTTTTCTCCATATCTTGTAAGAAATCTATCTGCTGATCATCTTTTGCTTTCCAACACTGCTCCCCAAAGCCTTGTCTTGTGCTACTGTAGTTTCACACCACATTCCACTCTACATCCATCAGATAACACTCATTTTCTAATATAATTTCTTCTGTTGCATTAGAGAACTGTGAACCACTCATGTTTAGGAAGCTGGAGAAACTGCTCCTTGCTCAGTTGAAACTTGCATATTACACTCCAATTTTGGTGCATATTCATAACATGGAAGTGGATTCTTCACCAGAGGAGACTTGACCTCAGCAAAAACAATTCCCCCTCACACAAAAACTAAACTGCCTGGATGCCTTTCAATACAACAAAGTGATTTCTGAGCCACAAAGACTTTATACTGCACCTGCTTGTTCTCCCATGGAAAACACGCTGTGCAGCCAACAGCTCCCAAAGCTCACCTGGACTTTTGGCTACCTGTATTTTCAGGAATGCAATCCCCATGGTTTCACAAGGCTCTTACAGTGCTGTACATTAGAAGATAACTCACGGGACTCCCCATTAAAAAAAAAAAAATGAAGTTGGAGAATTCTTGCTCTCAAACCCTGGCAAGTTCCTGACAGGTTTCTTCCTGCTTTTCCAGCAGATCAGTTCCATGACCTGATCAATTCCAGAGGAGTAACTCCATTCCATGATCTCCAACTAAACCCAAAGGATCTGAGCAGGGCACTATCAGAATGCAGCTGTTCTCCACACAGGAAATACATTTTGCTAATACCAGAATTTACTTGCTTTATCCAAAGCCAATTACGCAACTCTCTCCAAGACAAAACTTCCAGCTAAGGGATGGGAGGGAGAGAAAGAGTAAGAAATGTGAAAATGGAGGTAAGGCTGCCACCTTACAAAACCAGTAGAGTTTCTGTGAAAACACTGAACCTCTTCCTACCTCAAGAACCCAATCGGTTCTTCCTTCCCTAATTCATTTTTCCGTTTGACAATAAATCATCCAGAAATTTCTTCCAGGAAAAGGAGTCCTAAGTTTAAAAGTCTGTCAAACACATTTCTTTCAACCTAAAGTGTTACTTAGAGACTTAATGAGAAAAAAGTGCTTCAGAAAAGAACAGTAAGTTGTGTGTAATTACCGTTGACACTCTCCTGCCTCGGAATTCCTGCTGCTGGTGAGTGTCCCAGGGCCAGTGCTGCCGAGGGAGACACGTGTGCTGCCCTCAGTCCTCTCTCTGTGGGCAAGAAAAAACAGTCATTTTCATTTTAGTGCCTTGGCAAGTCACAGAAGCACAGAATGTGCTGGGTTGGAAGGGACCCACAAGGATCATCCAGTCCAACCCTCAGCCCAGCACAGGCCCATCCCCAGGAGTCACACCATGAGCACATCCAGAGGATCATCCAAACCCTCCTGGAGCTCTGGCAGCCTTGGGGCTGTGCCCACTGCCCTGGGGAGCCTGGTCAGTGCCCAACCAGCCTCTGGGGGAAGAACCTTTCCCTGGGATCCAACCTGACCCTGCCCTGACACAGCTCCGGCCCCTCCCTGGGTGCTGTCCCTGGTCGCCCCAGAGCAGAGCTCAGACCCTGCCCCTCCTCAGGAAACTGGAACTGCAGTGAGGTCTCCCCTCGAAGTCTGAAGAAAAACCAGGTGCAGAGAACAGGGCAGAGCCACTAAAGGAGCAGGAGCCATGAGGGGCCAGCCAATGGCTACAACTTCAAGGGAGCAGCAAACACAGCTCAAGGAAGAAGGGAAAAGCCAGCAGAGCTGTCATGGCATTCCCGGGGTCACCCAGCACGTCCTGAGTGCCAGAGCTGACACTGCCCAACACTGCCCAGGCTCCAGAGCACTGCCAAGACATTGCCCTGCTCAGCCAGGAGTGTGAGCAGTGGCTGAAGGACAGGCAGTGTGAACAGTGGGATGAGACATGTCTTTGGATAGTAAGTGTTATTTACTTAGTTATCTGCTCTATATCTATCTCTGCTCTACTCCTCTATATGACAATAAGGATGAAAAAAATCCATTTCCAAAAAGTATGCAAATACATCCACATTTAAACTGTCACACACATATTTATCCTCTGGTAAGGTGCATAAAACGATATAAATTGTACATAAATCTGGAAATACAATCCCAGTTTGCTGTTATGGGGCAGTATGGCTTTATTCTAGAGACTGCTCCACTAAAGGTAATTAAAGCTTCACTAGTGGCTGAAGCCATTCAAGATGTTATATTTAATGATATAGAAATTATCACCTTTCTCAAGTTACTGCATCCAGTACCAAATTCCAGTTCCTAAACCGTTTGCACACTGAGCCCTGCCCTGGCCCTCCAAACACAGGAAGTCTTTGCAGATATCAGTCAATTCCCAATACAGTTTTTCACAGAATCCCAGAAGCACTGGGGTTGGAAAAGCCCTCCCAGCCCATGGAGTCCCCCCTGTGCCCCATCCCCACCTTGTCCCCCAGCCCAGAGCACTGAGTGCCATGGCCAGTCATTCCTGGGACACCTCCAGGGATGGGGACTCCAAACCTCTCTGGGGAGCCCCTTCCAGTGCCTGACCACCCTTTCCATGAGGAAATTCCTTCTGAATCTCTAAAGGTAAGGCCCAGGTAGGTGTGTTCTGCAGTTTGACTGGAATGTTTCAAGAAATCTCTGTCCCTATGGTTCCCTGTGCTGGGAGTCCAGCCAGGAGAAGCTCCCACACCCCAATCCACTGCCACTGTCACCAGAGAGGTGACACTGCCTGGAAGTCACTTGAAGATGTTTCTGAAGTCACGTGTTCCTACTGAATGACTTTTAATAAGGCACAGGCAAAAATATATCATATAAATGACCAGCCCCAAAGCTGGAAAAGTGAATCTTGTGCAAAAGGAGGCATTTTCCACATCAATCAAGACACTGGGAACAAGGGGAGATTTACATTAGGATTGAAAGGGCCGAAGGGCTGGGAGCCAGTGGTGTGTCTGTGCTGGTCAATACACAGCAAGGATTGTGTCAGCACCACTGAGAGAATAAATTATCGCTGCTTTTACAATAAGCTCTTCAAGAATGCAATAAAGAGTTCAGTGTGTGCTTCTCACTCAGGAATCCAAAACTTTTCAGTGAAGGTCTGGCTTGCAGCAAAGATAACAGCTGAAAACTAACCATCTTGACCTTGGGAAGCTTCATGACAACGTGCTAAAAACAGGTGAAAAACTGAACAGGTCACTGCTCCCACATCCACCAGCCCTGAGAGCGAGCACAGGTTTAAGTACTGAGAGTTCAGACCTGATGGGTTTGAGACAGCCCAAAATTAGAAGTGAGAAATGTAATTTTTATCCTCAAGCCTCTTGGCTGTTGCAGTATTACTAATATTGAGGTTTTCTCATCTGCTTTCAGAGATAAATTTAAAATTCTTCCCCGATTAAATGAAATCATGGCAGGAAATTAAGAAAATATGTAACTAGGGAAGGCATTCTTACAATATTTCATACCAGCCCCTGACTTTGATGCACAGTATTATAAGAATGTCTTCCCAGTCACGTATTTTCCTCCACAGTTTGACAAGAAGTCTCCCAAGTTGTGGGAACAGCAAGTCACCAAATAAAAATGCCAGTTTTTCATTCTTCCAAGCTTCAAAGATGGATTTTAATTTGCTTGAAATTCAGCAGGCACTCTCGGGAGCAGGATTCTGGAATTTTTCCTGTCTGCACAGTCCATATGAAATTTTAAGGGCTCACCAACCTTTTCCTAAAAATAATTGTAAAAGATGAAGGGCTTGTAAAAGATGTGGGAAAAGCCCCCCAGCAAACACAATGCCAATGCCACCCTCCAGAAAACCCCAAACAAAAGAGTGTTAAAAGAGCTCTATAGAACATTTATATCCAACTTTGCTGCAGATTTGGTTTCAGTGCAACATCAAAGAAAGATGCAGTTTGTGATCAAGGCTTGTGGCAGGAAATGGATGTGTGTAGACAAAGTTATCTTTCTTCTCTCTGAAGGTGAATACATGAGGAGTTATTGTTTTCAGCCATTCTAACATCCAATTCCTCAAAACCACTACAGTAAAATTAACTATTAATCACCAACAAAAATAACCTGTCCCCAGAGAACAGCAATAAAAGTAGCCTGAAGTGGGTATCTGTGCACATACACAGCCCAAGGAGCTGAAATTATTCCACTGCACTGTCAAAGTGCTGCTTAATTCCAGCTAAGGCCACGTTTTCCAAAAACTTGCTGCAACAATCCTGAGCTACAACAGAGTGAACAACTTGTAAGAGCTTGTTCCAGGGGATGTGTAAGACATCAATACCAGCCCTGTTTATCCACTGGCTGCTGTGTGAAGGATCCCACACTGAGATCTGGGATCCAACTGGTTCAGCTCTACAGAAAATTAGATTTATTTGATCCTAGGTGAGAACAAATGATTCCCAGACAACACCAGCACTCCGAAACTTTCCGAGATTTGGAACACAGGAAGGTAAAAAGCCCTAAAAGAGCAGAGTGTAATAGCTGGCTGCTTTTCAACATGCATGATCACACACTGAGCCCTGAGAAAGTCAACATCTTTCCCATTTTACCACCTTATCCTTTTTCACAAATTACATAAACCCAGGGAAGGAATGTGAGTGTGGGAAGCAACTCGGGTTTTGCTTCTTACTCACAAGGATACTGAACCAGACACAAAGTACTTTCTTCTATGCTGGATCTTAACTCCAAGGTCAATTTATTGGCTTAAAACACAGAGAGGATGATGCTTCCCTGGTTCAAATGCTAATCTGAGGCTCAGGAAATCTAGATTCAATTCCCTGCCTCACCACATACTTCCTGTGTGACCTTGGGCCATAAATATTTCGGTGCCTCAGTCTTTCCATCTGTGACTGAGATAGTATTTCTCTATTGAACTAAGTGTTGTAAAGATAAATACATTGGGAAAACATCAGGAATCACAGGCCACAGCCATAAGTGGATCGGGCAGCAGAGGAACTTATCTGTGTGTCAATAGTCCCAATCAGGCAGCAGGGAAAGCAAGGGAGGGCTGCCAGTGTTAAAAACTTTAACTACCACAGGGCAGCAAACACATAAAATATCAGCAGAATGGATGGAAATTGAAACCTCAATTATAAAAATCGGCTTTGCAGAAAGTTTCCATCATTCCAACCAAGTTTTAAACAGAAACAAAACTCAGAAACCAGCTGAGTGAGCTGCTGAAGGGAGCAAATACACCTGCCAGCAACTCATTATTGCCCTGTTTTGGGAGATTATCACATGAAACACCTCCAATGCGAGGCAGCAGAGGGGCAGCTGAGGCTGGGGGCAAAGAATCTGTTTGGAGACTGTTCCCCAAAGCCCTGCAGGAAGGGAACCACACGCTGCTGGAGTCCCCAGCCTTTTGTGAGAGGCGGTAAATAGGATCGGGCTGAGAGTGCTCACAGTGGGGTCCCCTCTGCCGCTGCCCCAAGGCGGGTGGGGGGGGGATAAAGCGCGAAGGGGGAGGGCAGAAGATGGTCACCACCCAAACAGGGGCTGACAGGAGTGACCTCCCCCTGCCCCGACCCCAGGAGGAGCCGGGGGAGGTGTCTGGGACTGAGCTGGGAGCAGCCAAGGGGAACAACTACAAGGCTACGTGGCATTCGCAGGCAGCGGCTGCGAGAGGGAGAACGGGGGGGGCGGCGAGGGGGGAGCCGGGGGGGGGGGAAAGGCTTCAGATCGCAACCGCTGCTTCCCCGAGACATGGAAGGACAAGGAGAGGAAGGGGAAAGAGGGACACGGGGGATGTGTGCGTTGCGGAGAGGAGCGGGACCGGGCGGGGGGAAGAGCGACCCGCGGAGCTCGGTGGCATTAACCCCGTCCGGGCGGGCTCAGCTGAGCTCAGCCGGGATCCCCCCGACCCCAGCCCCGGGTGTCTGCCCAGCCCTGACCCTCCGCACCGGGGTGTCCCGTTAGGAGCCGCTCCCCCAAATCCTGCATCCCAAATCCCCCCGGTCTGCCTGGGGGGGATGCCCGTGCTCCTCGGGGCACCCCCGTACAGACCCACCCATACAGACCCACCCGTACAGACCCTCCCGTACAGACCCCCCCTCCTCCTGCCCGACACCCCCTGAGCCCGGCCTGACCTCCCGTCCCGGCACCCCAACCCACTCCCGGCACCACATACCACCCTGGGCACCCCATCCCCGGCACCCCATCCCAGGCACCCCATCCCATGCCGGGCACCCCATTCCCACCCCGGGCACCCCATCCCGGCCGCGCATCCCATCCTGCCCCCTACACCCCATCCTGCCCCACCCCGCCCCAGACCCCCATCCCACCCCATGCCCCGGGACATCAGATCCCCTCGGATCCTGCCCCCACCTGCCCCGTGCGCCACGTCCACCCCCAAACCTGCCCCATTCCCCGGGCTCCCCCTCTTCCTCTCCCAAAAAACCCCCTCCCGGTCCCCGGGGTCCCGCTTCTCCCGCAGCCGCCCCCCCTTCCCCTCCCCGCCCTCCGCACCGCGGGGCTCGGCTCCGGGCAGTGCCCGCCGCGCCCTGGGCGGGCAGCGCCGTTCTCCCCGTGCCCGGGGCGCGGCGGGACGGCGGGGGAGGCACCTCCGGGCCGGGGCTCCCCGCACTGACCGTGGGCTCCGCGGGCTCCGCCGCCGCCTCAGCGCCCGCCGCCCGCCCGCGCCGCCATCATGGAATGCGGGCACCGCGCCTGCGCCGCCGCCGGCCGGGGGCGGGCGGGCGCGCCAACCACGGCACGGCCCGCGCGGCTCCGCGGCCACGGACACACGAGCCCGCCGAAAGCGGCGCGGGGGGGCGGCTCCGCGGGGCTGGGACACTGCGGGCGGGGGCACCTGGGTGGGCACCGTCTGTCACCGCTGAGCACTGCCTGCCCCCCCCGGGCACCATCTGTGCCCCCCGAGCACTGCCTGTCCCTCCTGGGCACCATCTGTGCCCCCCGGGCACTGCCTGTCCCCCCTGGGCACCGTCCATCACCCCTGGACACTGTCACCCTGGGCACTGCTCGTCTCTCCTGGGCACTGTTTGTCACCTCTGGGCAACATCTCTCCCTCCTGGGCACTGCCATTACCCCTGGGCACTGTTTGTCACCCTGGGCACCGTCTGTCCCCCCGGGCACTGTCCCCCCAAGGCACTGCCTTGTCATCCCAATTTAGGAGTCACAGAATTCACCTGAATCCAAAAAAGTGTGTCATGATGCACAAAATGTTAATAGTGATGACCCTAAAAGCGAGGGGGATGATACCAACCCACAGGCAAAGCGAAAGGAAGGAGAGGTTTTGTCTCTGCGTGTCCTGAAGTTGTGCCAGGGCAGGTTGAGTTGGATATGAGGGAAAATTTCTTCATGGAAAGGGTTGTCCAGCCCTGGCACAGCTGCCCAGGGCAGTGGTGGAGTCTCCATTCCTGAAGGGATTTAAAAGCCCTGTGGATGTGGCACTTGGGGACATGGGTCAGTGGTGGCCTTGGCAGTGCTGGGGGATGGTTGGACTCGATGGGCTCAGAGGGCTTTTCCAACCTAAAATATTCTGTGATTCTGTGTATCCTGACAGCAGCTCCATTCTCCACGTCCCTTCTCACCCATCATCAGAGCATCCCAAGCCTTTGGGGACACCAAGCCCTGCTCCAAAGAGGATCAAGGGTAGGGGCTAAAAAAACACTCCATGGGCTGAAAAGCCCCTCTGGCACATCCATTTTCTCTGGCAATTAATGTACCAATAAATGTTACACTCCCCACCTTATTTCCACCAAGCAGTTTACACCAATACATTTCCATTAATGTGCCTTACAAAAACAATCATAATAAAAAAAATTAAAAAACATGCCTTGAACTTGCTTAAAGCAGTGATTTCAGGGGTATTTTTTGTGGAATTCAGCTTCTATGTGGATGTAAAATAAATGTGACAGCTGTGCTCATATACAAGCTCCACATAAACTGTGGATCACAGCAGTTGAGAAGAAAAAGGTCAAACGACATTCATATGCAATATAATAAATGTATATATATATGTCTATATAATAGACACATAAAGAAACTACCTTCTTGAATGAATGGGCTTGTATTTGCCCCTGGATTGATTTTAGATATATATTTTAATGAATATAGGAAATTATGTAATGAATAGAAACAACTGTGCCTTAATGTCAGAGAATTTCTCTCTGGAGACTGGGGGAAGTGGTTGATTTGCCATAACAAACAACCTGGACTAAAATAAATTCCCATGCATCTTCTGAAACAAGGAGGCAGTGCTAAGGAATGCCAGAGGTGGTGGGAACAGTTGAATTTTTAGGCAACTAATAGGATATATTGTTAAATAAATGCAAAAATAACCTCTCAGGGTAACTTTACCATTAATTTTACTCGTATTTGCCCATAAAATGATGAATATAATCTCTGCCAATTGAGAGCAAACAGTGAAAGAACAGAAAAAAATCATTCTCAGGTTGCATCTGAAAAGCAAAATTTTGTAGCTGAGTCCATGGCCAATTCCAGGTGGAAAAGGCAGGAGAAAACTTTTCCTCTTAACAAGATAATTGGTGCAATCTCTGCATTGAAATTTCCTCTTCTTTCTACCCCTTCCATAATTTTTACCACAGACTGTGACTCCTGGCCTGATTCTGGTACAGAAAAGCAGCAGCTCCCCCTTTTCCTTGTGGAGTTGTGTGGATCAGCACATCACATGTTTTATTACTGTCAGTTAAGAACCTATAAATTTGCATATAAAATAGATTGAAACCTTCAGAAAAGGACTCAGAGGAAAAATAAGCTGCTCCTCCTGTTTTGAATCACATTGTGCTTTTGTCCCTGGTATTAAACTCTTATTGTCATGGATGATTCCAAATGGAATTCTTTAATTCCAGCTCAGATTTAAATCTGGGAACACCTCAGGAAAGGTAGAAGACCAGACCAGCACGAGACTCTGTGAGTGCAGAGCTGCTCTAGGAACAAAAGGTTGGTTAATAATTTCACCTTTGAGAGAATTCCTGGAATCTTCAGCGCTCCATCTCAGGAATCTTATAACTCCCCAGGCTCTAACTAATCTGCAGCGAGGCACATGGAGTGCCCTGGGGATTTCATTCCTGGAGTGAAATATTTGGACTTAACTTTTGGGAGATCTTCTGAAAGAGCCCCATCAGATGGGATTTGGAAATTCAAAATACACTGCATTAAGTGAATGTTGAAGGCAGCGATTCAAGGACTATTTTGACTTCCCAGGCTCAGTATTTATCCACTGCCAGCTAAACCTTACAAGTTATGACTAGTGGTGGTGTCTGATAGCCAGGATAAAGAAGGTTTTTGGGGGGGAATGCTGAGCATTCTTTGCTCTCAAGGCCACTGGACCCCCCAGGTGTGATTAGAACAAGAATTCCTTTGTAGGCAATAACACAGTGCTTCAGCCCTTGGAGAAATCCTTTTCCTTTCCCCAGCCAGCCTTTCATTAAATCAATTTTTTCCCCTTAATTTTCCACTTTGAATATATTTTATACCAGAGCAAGGCACTCGACTGGTCATTCCAGCAAGCACTGATGGAAAAGCTTATGGAGTTGTAGCTGGTTGCTGGTGAGACTCGGGATAAAAGATCTAAAACCTGCCCACATTCCACAAGCTCCAGGGCTCCTTTAAAACTCAAATTGCTTCCACTATTCCCACAGCATGGAAAAGAAATGACTGAATGTTTGCTGCCTACAGCCCACATCCACACTGCCATGGGATGACAGGGAGGGAAGGTTGTTTTTTTACAGCTGAGACTGGAAATTATCCGGGCAGTGGGTGAGACTGAAGGAGCAGGGGTGGGATGTTCCAGACGGAAAAGCCGCACGGAGGGAATATTTGGTGTGAGGAGCACAGCAAATGTCTGGGAGGAAGGCTCTCATTAGGTGGCTCAGAAATTACATGGAACGAGGCTGAGGGGGAGCTTGAATCATATTTTGAAATTCCTGGAGAGCCGTAGGGGCCGTGAAGGACGGCGGGTTCCTCACGCAGAGCCGGCGACGCTCATCGGGAGCCGGGTTTGGAAAAGCTGGATTTTGAGGAAATGGTTGCCCAGGCTGTCCTTCCAGCCCGGAGAGGAAGAAGGTAGAGACACACACCCCGATGACAGCGGGTCAGGGAGGATCCAGGCCTGGGAAGGAGGAATTAAAAATAGCAGAAAATAAGATCAGAGAACGTTTGGCGAAAGGAAAAGGAAAGAGAAAAGAAATGGCCCAAATGGGAAGTGGAAATGAGTCAGGAGGGAGGGAAGACAGGACAAATGGGAAGAAATCTGGGCTTATAAAGGAAGGGCAGGCTCTGAAATGGAAAAGGAGAGTTAAGGAGAGTCTGTCTTAACAAAACAATGGCAAGAAGCAGTGCCAAAATCATGCTCATTATTCCACTAGAAAATTTGGAATTGTAATATCTATTTTCTGCTTTGCTGGTTCAGGGGCTGTAGGTGAGCTAATAAAAATAAAGCAGGGATGGAAAAGAAACATATTAAAGAAACAGAAAAGACTTTGACAGAAAGGGGAAAAAAGAGAGATAAGAGGAATATTACAATTACAATATATCCCAGTCTGAACATGGGAGAGGAGGTTGAATAACAAAAACCTTCTGCTTAGAGCTGGACACAGTAAATACCTGGATGCACAACCCCCCCTCCAAACCCACACCCCACTTATCAGGGGGATTAGCAGCTCTCCTGGATTTCTAGTTCCAGCCTATAAAAAAAGCATTTGTTTTTCCATCCTTCCCCAGCAATAATAATGATCCTGATGATTTTAACCCACATCCAGCAAAGCCTCCCCTCTCCTGACTCCATCAGGAGCTGTGAGCACAGGCTTGGAACACGCTCCCTTGGTTTTCTGGGATTATACACAAACTCCTGGTGTGTCCAGCCCAGGAGGGAGCGAGGCAAGGCAAGCTGGCAAACAAACCTCCCTCAAACAGCACTTTGTTGGAAGGGTTTGTGCTCAGATCCTCAGAAGTAAACAGTGAGTGCTGGAGCAGATTTTCCACCAGTGTGCACTGGCATCGCTCCATCCACCCCAGGGGAACTGGGAGGGTTTTCTCCAGCTCAGGATCTGCTCCATCGGCAGCAAAGCAGCACTCTGGGCTGGATATTTGGAACACAGAACAGTGGGAAAAGCCTGGGGGGTGTTGGGAGCAGGGGTTTCCCTCTGCAGGTGCTCTCATCCCTGTTCCACAGAGTCCCAGGATGGCTTGGCAGGAAAGGAACCTTAAAGACCATTTAGTTCCCCCCTCTGCTCTGGGCAGGGTCACCTTCCACCAGACCAGGTTGCTCCAAGCCCTGTCCAACCTGCTGTTTATTTGCCATTGAAGCCCAGGAGCAAGTCAACACAGGCAGAAACGACTGAATGTTATCAAACACCATCTAAACAACCAGGTGGTACCTTCAGAGGTACTGGGTTGGACCAGCACAGTGCCCCACACCCTGAACAGTTTTGTCCTCTGTGTCATTAAAAGCAATGTCATTTTAAATGAAGAAATTAACCCAAATCTGAAGATTTTCCTTTGGGGTCAGTAATATTTGCAGAACTCTGCCCTCTCCGTGGCTTTCAGTCCTGGTGCAGTCTGGTGGTGTCTTTCAGGGAAAAAGAAAAGAGATGTATTAAGAAGAAAATACAGATTCTTGGCATCAGTACGGGCAGGCCAGGGTGGATTGAC